CTTGTGCTTACTTTGAAGGTGTTTTTAACTTCAGGCTTGGTCAAATGGGACGTTTTGATCTAGAGAAAAGCTTATTTTAGAAGGCAGAATATTTATTTTATCTGGAGTAGAGAATAAGACATCCCTGGGCTTGAATCTCCATTTGAACACTTACTATTTCTATTACCTGGAGCTAGTGACTTCTCACCAAGCTTCTGCATCTTCACCTATAAAATGAGTGTCTCGGCATCCCATTTTGGTTTCCTTAGCTTGCTTACATTTCCACAAGTAGTCTTTTCATTACTGTACTGATTTTCAACCTTCTCTGGCCATTGGAATTCACTGTAAAGCCTGGTCCCACCCCAAGCACAGGGAATATGAAAGCTCCTGGATGACTCTAATGGATGGCCATGGTTGAGAGCCACTGTGTTCAGTCTCTGGATTTGAACCATCTGATGTAAATTCTATTTTCTGCTGAGATCCTGGATATAGATATTAATTCTTTTAATTCCTTACATTCATTCCCACTGAACACGCATTGAGTGCTTACCATTAACAGATTTTGTGGTAGGCCATAGGGATATATAAATTCAAAGAAATTCCCTGCTTTGGGGCAGCTGGGTGGCTCAGTCGTTAAGTGTCTGCCTTCGGCTCGGGTCATGATCCCAGGGTCCTGGGATCGAGCCCCGCATCGGGCTCCCTGCTCCGCGGGGAGTCTGCTTCTCCCTCTCCCACTGCCCCTGCTTGTGTTTCCTCTCTTGCTGTGTCTCTCTCTGTCAAATAAATAAATAAAATCTTCAAAAAAAAAAAGAAATTCCCTGCTTTTAAGAATTTTAACTCGTGTATTAGACATATTTAGAACTTAAACTCAAACAGCATAGACCTTGACATAAAGGGTTAACATTGTTAGCTATAATCATATCTGTTGTTATATACTGCTCTGAAAATATATTGTTGACAATAAGACAAGAAAAGGAAATAACAGGCACACAGATTGGGAACGAGGAAATAAAACTGTCTCTGTTCACAGATGACATGATTGTCTATGTAGAAAGTTCCAAAGAATCAACAAAAATGACAAAACCTCTGGAACTGAGGGGTGATTAAACAAGGCTGCAAATTTGCAGGATACAAGGATAATATGTAAGAGTCAATAGGTTTCCTATATACCAACAGTGAACAATAGAAATTTGAAATTAAAAACACAAAACCATTTTTAAAAAAGAAAAGAAAATGGTAAATATGTGAGTGATGGATATATTATTTAGCTTGATTGTGCTGATTATTTCATAATGTAAACATGTCAAAATGTCAGGTTGTATACCTTAAACATATACAATTTTTATCTGTCTATTATACCTCAATAAAGCTAGGGGGGAAGACCACACCACCATTAACATTAGCACCAAAAAAAAAAAAGAGAGAGAGAGAGAGAGAGAGAGAGAAATACTTAGATACAAGTCTAACAAAGTTTGCACAAGATCTATGTGAGAAAACTACAAATCTCTGGTGGAAGAAGTCAGAGATCTAAATAAATAGAAAGATAATCCATGTTCATGGATAGAAAAATTCACTATTGATGTCAGTTCCTCCCAACTTAATCTACAGATTCAATGCATTCTGAATAAAAATTCCAGCAAGTTAGTTTGTAGTCATTTATAAGTGATTCTAAAGTTTATATGGAGAGGCAAAAAGACCCAGAATAGCCAAAACAATATTAAAGAAGAAAAACAAAGAGGGCTGACTTCACTCCAACTTCAAGTCTTACTGTAAAGCTACAGGAATCAAGACAGTATGGTGTTTGTGACAGAATAGGCACATGAATCAATGGAACAGAACAGAGAGCCCAGAAATAGACCCACACAGACATAATCAGCCAACCTTGGACAAGGGAGTAAAGGAAATTCAGTGGAAAAGAGGGAAGAACAGTCTTTTTAACAAATGGTGCTGGGACAAGTGGGCATCTACATGTAGCACAATAAATCTAGACATAAGTCTTACCCCTTTCACAAAAACTAACTCATAATTGTTCGTAAACCTAAATGTAAAACAAAGAACTATAAGACTTGGAACACAAACCATGGGAGAAAATCTACGGGACCATGGATTTGGTGATTAGTTTTAAGACATCCAAAGCATGGTTCAGGAAGGCAAAAACCGGTAAGAGGGACTTCATTAAGAAAAAAAGAAAAACGTTCTGATCTGTGAAAGACCCAGTTCAGAGGACATGGAAGAACCTTAAATGCACATCACTAAGTGAAAGAAGCAACTCTTAAAAAGCAACATACAGTAGGATTCCAGGTCTATGACATTCTGGAAGAGGCATGGAGACAGTAAAAGGATCAGTGGTTGCAGGGGGTTTGGGGTGGGGATGAGTAGGTAGAGCACAGAGGATTTTTAGAGCAGCAGCACTATTCTGTGATACATAATTGTAACATTATGCATTTGGCAAAACCCAAAGAACTGTACCATACAGAGTAAACCCTAATGTAAACTATAGACTTTAGCTAATAATAATGATCAATATCAGCTCATCAATTGTAACTAATGTACCATACCAGTGCAAGATATTACCTGTAGGGAAACTGAGGGCAGGGAATAAAGGGAATATATAGGAACTCTCTGTACTCTCTGCTCAGTTTTTTCAGTAAACCTAAAACTGCCCTAAAAAATAACGTCCATTTAAATATATGTGTATGTGTTTGCGCGGGTATGCATGTATGTACGCACGCTACAGAAATACCTCAGGCTCCACTTAATGAAATTATTTCTCATGAGCATCTAAAATTTTGAAAAAAATATTAATAACATCTGATTGATTAGAAATAGTAAAATGTCCAAATGAAGGTGGAGGGGCGTTAGTGGTCATTGTGTCTTTGGAGGAGGAAGCCACGGCATGCTACAGTGGACAGAATATTCACAGGCAAAGTCCCGCTACATTGGGACGTATTTTAGCTCTCTCACTGATGACTCGTTTTCCAGTCCTAAGATATTGGTGGAAATGTTGCCCTGAATTTCCCTGGACAGGCTAAGTCTTGCAGGTTTGAAGCTGCATAAAAAGAAGGTAAAATCATTTTTGGGTTGGGGGGGGCGTCTCATGAAAGTCTCTCCAAACTGCAGTTTCCTTAACTGCAAACAAGGATAAGAGAATTCAAGTAGTTGAATCTTTGATATTTTGAGCACAGTAGGAAAGGTAATTTGGATATGTTTAGGAGATAATGGGTCTTGGACTTGGAGTTACCACTCAGGAATGGAATTTTAAATTTCACAGCTGATCCCTTAAAGGCAAAAGTAAACTTGTTCTGGAAGAAATTAAATAGGAGGTGTCTTAGGATGTGTGGCCATGCACCAATCACAACAGTTCAGCGCTGCGGCTCCGGCAGAAAGCGGCCACACCCCCTGCCACACATCGAGGACAGAGCATGAGCTAGACAGTCGTTGGTCAGCGGGATATAGGGACAAAGGTCTGGAATTACCCTTAACCAGAGAGGTCCCAGATTTTTCATGTCTCTGGCCTGACGTGTCAATTAGCTCAAACCCTTTCTTTAGAGGTAAATGGAAGTTTGTCAGTTGTGGTTTGTTATAAGATCACAGGAAGGTGGTGCCTTAGAAAAAAATTTTTTGAGTCCGTGTAGCTAAAATGAAGCAGAAACCCACAGTTACTTGGGTGAGGTTGATATGAACACCTCCCCTCACTGAATGACCCAGATGGCCAGTCTCCTGTGTAGGACAGATGGGTTGGTGATTGCTGAACTCCCCTCCCACACTCCTTTTGGCTTTGACTTAGTGTTTTTAGCTTCAAAGTCTCCCTCTGAGGAGAACAATATGGCATCGGAAGATTAAAACTGAAGTGATAAATGCTTGCGATTTGAGACCTGTTCTCACAAGATAAACAGGTTCAATCCAACTCGCCCAGGAAGCGCTAGGCACGGACACACATTTCAGCATCTCTCTCCGCACCTGCTCTTGTACCCTGTGAGGAAAGCTGTGCCCAACAAGAAGTGGTTCTTCTTCCATCCCCTGCCTCCTCCCAAGGGAGATGGAATGAGATGGAGTGATGCTGGAAAATACGCCAGGGAAAAACCCTGGCTCCGTGCCAGAACAGAGAAACTAACATGGAGGGGAAGAAAATCGGAAAACAGGCTGAGATACATAGACACCCACCACATGATCCTTGAGCCAAATACGGAAATACGATGACGCGGTAAGAACATTATGGTAACATTAACACATAATGAGAAAATCATGGCAAAGATACGCCTCTCCTTGGAATATGGGACCAAGAAAAACCAAGGTGAATTTGAGGATTGTATATGCATCTTGGGGGACAAGTGAGTCACAACAGATGGTTCTCGGTCCTGTAGTTAATTGCTGTACATGAATATAAGGGTTTTGTCCTTTAAAATGTTAAGTTCTGCCTTGTAACCACCATGGGGTCCCCTGTCATTTGCATAGTTATCTGTCAGTTAAGCACTGACTTATTTCTTATATTCTAAAAAATATTTGCAGAACAAATAATGAATTGGTCCTAGTAAAAATAGTCATTAGAATCTTGTTTCTGAAAGTGATTGCTGAGTGTCTTGGAGCATCACCTTATGTTCTGGATACCCCCAAACTCACAAAATACAGATTTGCCATGCAGCAGACCCACTCTTATTTTTCAGCCTCACGTCTTGATGACACTCTGTGCTTATTCAGGCACACTTCCTTTTACTGCTTTGCTTAATTGTGCTTTGCAGAGTGTGTGCTTTTTACAAATTGAGGGTTTGTGGCAACCCTGCATCGAGCAAGTCTGTTGGCACCACTTTTTCCAACAGCATCTGCTCGCTTCATGTCCCTGTGTCACATTTTGGTAATTCTCACAATATTCCAAAATTTTTCATTATTGTTATATTTGTTATGATGACCTATGACCAGTGATCTTTGATGTTATCACTGTAATTGTTTTGGGGGCACCACAAACTATGCACACATAAGACAGCAAACCTAATCAGTAACTGTTGTGTGCGTTCTGACTGCAGCTGTGGGGTAACCAGGATCAGAAGTGCCGCCTGAAGATGGGACGGAACTGCCACAATCTCATGATAAAACTTGAACAGATGAGGAGTTGCTTCTTATGGATGAGCAAAGAAAATGGATTCTTGAGATGGAAGCTACTCCTTGGTGAAGATGCCATGAAGACTGTTGAAAAGACAACAAAGCGAGTAAGGGAAGGGTTCAGGTACAGGCAGGGAGAGATAGGGGGTCCCTGGCTGGGCTCTGAGACTACTCTTGGCAGGCAAGAGTGCTAAGCCAAAGTAAGCAAGAGATAGGGGAACAAACCAGGCTACCCGACCCTGAATGTTAGGGAGTATTTTTCTTTGGTGGCTACACTGTAATCACAGAAAATGACCAAACCTCAAAGAAGTAAACCATTAAGGCGGTTATCAATAGTCCTTGCTCAGACCATGATGGCACCAGAATCTCAAGACCGCAAGCTTCCTGGTCAATTTTTCAAAAAGAGATCGGCCCTAAACACCCTCAGTGGCCACCCATTTGGGACCCCGCTCACTCTAGAGAGCTTTTTCTTTCCTTTCTGCTCTCACCTTCACTTAATAAACTTTCACTTCACTTCAGCCTTTTGTGTCCACAGGATTCATTCTTTGACCTGTAAGACAAGAACCCTGCAATTCTGCCAAAAAAGGATTTAGAACATCACATGAACTTAGTTGTAAAGCAGCAGCAGAGTTGGAGGATGGACTCCAGTTTTGAAAAAGTTCTACTGTGGGTAAAATGCTACCAAACAGCATCACATGCTACAGAGAAATTGTTCCTGAAAGAAGAGTCAATCCGTGCGGCAAACTTCAGGGTTGTCTTCCTTTCAGAAATGGCCACGGCCACCACCCTGATGGGTCGGCAGCCTTAAACATCAGACAAGACCCTCCACCAGCAAAAGGATTATGGCTCCTGAAAGCTCAGATGGTGGTTAGTATTTTTCAACAACAGAGTATTTTTAATTATGGTATGAACCTAGTTTTTCAGACACAGCTACTGCGCATTTCATAGGCTACATGCACTGTAAACATAACTTTTATGTGCACCGGGAAACCAAAGCGCTCATCTGACTCACGTCATTGCAATATTCGTTTTATTGCTGTGATCTGGAACTAAATCCACAATATCTCCAAGGTATGCCTCTAATTTTTCCTAATTTTGCACACATTGGGAAAAAAGCTTAGCATAAACTTATGTAATCTCCTCGCCATCAGCAGCCCTGCATACTTGTTCCTACTGGCGAATATTTGGTTGTTGTTTAGCTATTCACCTCGGCTCCATGGAGGAGTGCGTGGCTTGGCTCCAGAGAAATCATTCTGTTATCACAGCTCTACACCCACAGACTTGTTTTTGTTTTATTTCCTTCTTTGGAAAGGTAGTTTGTGAGAAGAGAATCGGGGTCTTCCTTGATAAGAAGGACCATTAAGGCGGTTATCAATAGTCCTTGATAGCAAGCTGTGCCTGTCCCCATGGGTCACTACATTGAGATTTTTGAAGTGATCCCTGAGGGGCGCCTGGCTGGCTCAGTCGTTAAGCGTCTGCCTTCAGCTCAGGTCATGACCCCAGGGTCCTGGGATCCAGCCCCGTGTCTGGCTCCCTGCTCCGCGGGAGGTCTGCTTCTCCCTCTCCCTCTGCCTGCTGCTCTGCCTACTTGTGATTCCTCTCTCTCCCTGTCAAGGAAATAAATAAAACCTTTAAAAAAAAAAAAAGGTGATCCATGAGTTACCTAAAGATGCAAATAAAACCTGACCCAAATTGGACAGCGGGATGCTCACAAACATGAGCCAGGCAATACCTTTTCTTCCGTGTTGAGCGGAAGTGTGACCACAGCGCATTCTCCTCCTGGAGGTTCTTACCTAGCATGGTTTTATCCCCCTGAGGCAATGCTAACCCAGCTTGCCTAGTCTCCTGTGTTGCATTTCTTGGTATCATGGAGCTTCTCTATTTTCCTTTGAGGAAGGGTAAGGACGATGGGAGAATGGGAGGAGAGGTGAAGAAATCACCCAAGGTTGCATCTTTCTCCCATTGGCCATGAGAGATGGTCCTCCTCAGGACATGGCTTATTTTAAGTGGTGCATGTGCGAGCTTCCTCCGTGGGCTAGAACGTGACCATAGCACTTCTGGAAAAGAGAATAACCCCTTGAAAGTATTATCTAGAAAATAATCTTTAGAACTTGCAGGGAAAGACTCTATGTCCAACCTCTGACGGCAAGAGAGAGAAACACAGGGGCAGAAATGGGCATCAGGCAGACGGTGAGGACAAAGTGACACTGAAAGCCATCATTTCTGAAAAGCGATGGTCAGAGAAAGACACAGAAGCCAGGCTTGGTTTGGAGGAGCGTCTACCTTCAGAACACTCCCCCAAATAAGGGGGAAGCAGTGGGTGGACAAATCCTGAGCATTCTCTCAAGTGCCCCCTCCCCCTCACGTGCTGCTGAAAACAGGGGTGAGTGGAGAAAGATACAAAGAGAAGGGAGGGAGGAGAAGCCCCTCGCTCTGGCTGCAGGGGGGAGGCAGGGAGGGGCACCTGGGGCCTCCAGGCTCACCATGTGTGTTTCTTCAGGCTGGGAAGAAAGTAGAGACAGGGCAAAAATCCCATGAATTTTCATGAATAAGTAGACACTTAATGGAAAGGAAGAGAAGAGAGAAACAAAAACCCTGCACTCCCTGGAAGAAGGAGAAATGGGGGAGAAGAGCTACTCACTGGGAGGAACGAGCCCCAGGAGCCAAGGCAGGTGGAAGTGAGGGCGCCCCAAACAGGTGGAGGGTGCCACCCCCCAAACCTGGCATTCAATCAGCCCAGCTGAGCTGCCCCGTCTTCACGGGGCCACGGCCCAGGAAGGCAAGGACACAGAGGTGGCCGTGCCCCATGGTCGGGGGGGACACTGGGACCCATTTCGGAGATTAGGGCTGCCTCAGGAAAGCAAGGCTTTAAGATGGCAAAGTCGGGCCTTCTCAAACCTCTCTTTTCTCTTAACCCTTGAGAAAATAGTGGGGAAATTCGGAACAGAAAATGCAAATCCCATAGCACATATAACATAGGAGAACTCTAATGCCAAGCCTTGGTATGCAGGAAGCAGGGCAGCCAGAGGTGGGGGCGCTCAGACTCCACGAGAACACCCCCCGGGGCAGGCCCCACACGCAGCTGGGAGAGCAGGGGAACAGGTGAGAACAAGCAGGCACTCCCACAGTTACGCCAACCAGCAAGGCTTGTTGAGTTTCAGAGAACTTGATGAGAAAATCTTGGAGGAAATAGTTAGACTGATGTAAGTTCTTTGACAATGCGAGTGCTGTGATGGCCACCATGCGTGAGAGCAGAAATGAAGAACGGCAGTTGCCATGGGAGCACGAGCAGCAGAGAACAAGCCTTGGGGCCTGGGCTCACACGCAGTTTAATTACAGTCTTCTCTTCAGTGTCTGCAGGAAGATCTCCCAGGTCAGTGGCTTTCAACCCGTTTGTTCTGGACCACCAGTAAGAAACACACTTCTATCATACGCACGCATGGAGATATGTCTGTATTCCTAGCAAGATTTTCATTTAAAAGTATATCCTCTTATTATATATGATGCATTCTGATGTTTTCTATAGAGTTCTGTTCTACTTTATTTTTCAAATACAGCTATGGTGATAAGACGATCCCCAATAATCTCTACCTCCTGGCATCCACACTTTTGTATAATCCCCTACCCCTGACTGAGGGCAGGACCTGCAACTCAACATCACTAATCATTAGAAACACAAACTGAAAGCACAATGAGAAGCCACCTAACACCCATTAAGACGGCTACCATTAACAAACCATAAAGTACCAAGTATTGGCGAGGATATAGAGAAATCGGGACCATGCGCACTGTTAATGGGAATGAAAAGGGTGCAGCTGCTGTGGAAACCAGTGTGGTGGTTCCCCAAAACATTAAACATGGAATCCCTATATGATCCAACAATTCCATTTTTGGATATATACACCCCACAATTAGAAGCAGATACTTGAAGGGATGTTTGTATACCCATGTGCATAGCAGCCAAAAGGTGGAAGCACCCCAGGTATCCATCAGTGGATGAATATGGATAAATACAATGACCTATATACATACAGTAGAACATTATTCAGTCTTAAAAATGGATGGAATTCTGGCACAGACTACAAAATGGGTGAAACCTAAGGACATTCTGCTAAATGAAATAAGACCAGTCACAAAAAGATAAATACTCAATGACTTCACCTAGATGAGGTACTCAGAATAGTCAAATTCATAGAGACAGAAAGTAGAAGGACAGGTGCCAGGAGCTTGGGGAAGGGGACTGGGAGTTAGTGTTTAGTGGGGACAGAGTTTCAGCTTTATAAGATGAAGAGTTCTGAAGATAGATGACACAACACCGTGAATGTACTTAACACTACCACACTGTGCTCTTAAAAATGGTTGAGATGGTTCATCTCTGGGTTTTCTATTCTGTTCTATTGATCTATGGGTCTATTTTTGTGCCAGGACCGTACTGTTTAGATCACTACAGCTCTATAGTCAATAATCTTTAACAAAGCTGCAAAGAATGTGCAATGGGAAGAAGACAGTCTCTTCAACAAATGGTGTTGGGAAAACTGGACAGCCACACGCAGAAGAATGAAACTGGACCACTTTCTTACATCATATACAAAAATAAATTCAAAATGGATTAAACACTAACATGTGACACAGGAAACCATCAAAATCCTAGAGAAGAACACAGGCAGTAACTTCTTGGACATTGGCCATAGCAACTTCTTACTAGACAGGTCTCCTGAGGCAGGGGAAACAAAAGCAAAAATGAACTATTGGGACTTCATCAAGATAAAAAGGTTCTGCACAGTGAAGGAAACAATCAACAAAACTAAAAGGCAAAATCTATAAAGAACTGATACAACTCAACACCCCACAACGAATAATCCAGTTATAAAATGGGCAGAAAACATGAACAGACATTTCTCCAAAGACACCCAGATGGCCAACAGACACATGAAAAGATGCTCAACATCACTCATCATCAGGGAAATACAAATCAAAACTGTAATGAGATACCATCTCACACCTGTCAGAATGGCTAAACTTAGCAACATAAGAAACAGATGTTGGCGGGGATGTGGAGAAAGGGGAACCCTCTTACACTGTTGGTGGGAATGCAAACTGGTACAGCCACTGTGGGAAACAGTATGGAAGTTCCACAAAAAATTAAAAACAGAATTACCATATGATCCAATAATTGCACTACTTGGTATTTACCCAAAAAATATAAAAACACCAATTCAAAGGGATATATGCGCTCCGATGTTTATAGCATCATTATCTACAATAGCCAAATTATGGAAAGAGCCCAGCTGTCCACTGACAGATGAATGGATAAAGAAGATGTGGTATATATATATATATATCTACACGATGTAATACTACTCAGCCATAAAAAAGAATGAGGTCTCGGGGCGCCTGGGTGGCTCAGTCCTTAGGCGTCTGCCTTCGGCTCAGGTCCTGGTCCCAGGGTCCTGGGATGGAGCCCTGCATTGGGCTCCCTGCTCGGCGGGAAGCCTGCTTCTCCCTCTCCCGCTCCCCCTGCTCGTGTTCCTGCTCTCGCTGTGTCTCTCTCTGTCAAATAAATAAAAAAAATCTTAAAAAAAAAAAAGAATGAGGTCTTGCCACTTACAATGACACGGACAGAGCTGGAGAGTATTATGCTAAGCAAAGTAAGTCAGTCAGACAAAGACAAATACCATATGATTTCATTCATGTGTGGAATTTAAGGAACAAAACAAAAGAGCAAAGGGGAAAAGAGAGAGAGAGAGAAACCCAGAAACAGACTCTTAACTATAGAGAGCACACTACAGATGGCCACCAGTGGGGGGGTAAGGTGGGTGAAACCGGTGATGGGGTGAAGGAGTGCCCTGTGGTGAGCCCTGGGTGCTATACGGGAGCTCTGAATCGCTACGCTGTATACCCAGGACTAATATTACACTGTGTGTTAACTGGAACTTAAATAAAAACTTAAAATATAGATACATTAAAAATCATCGAGATGGTAAAATTTATGTTTTATGTATTTAACCATCATTTAAAATAATTTTTAAAAACTCAGACGGAATCACAAAGCAAAACCCGATTTATAGGCCACATAAAAGAGGTCTAAAATAAAGTAACTTAAATATTGCAGTAAAAGATGGGCAAAAACATGCCAGACAAATGAAAACAAGGAGAAAGCAGAGGTTACAATGTCACCACCAGAGGAGACTGCATTTAGGACAGAGTATTCAGTGTGATGAAGGAAGGCCTTTGATAAACAACAAAAGGTACAGTCTAACGTACCAAGTAGCCCAGCATCAGAAAATGTTATTCAAATGCTCCGAGGAATAGAAGAAGCCATTGATAGAAACATTTTGGAATTACG